TTTCTTCACTTAAGATTTTTTTTTTAATAGTTTAATATCTTACTTATCAGAGAAAAGCAGGGTCCAGTTAGTTAAGGTTTCACTTGTATGTGGAACGTGACTTCCTAAGCTTGTCATGCATCAAACTGTTATGGCTGGCAATTGTTTAAAAAAATTCATTTTGTTATGAACTAGCCTGTTTTCAACTGGGCTGTTCAGAGATGGATTGCTTTCTGGAGTTTTTGACAGGTGTAATTGTTAAGGCGTCATCTGTTCTTGTTTGCACAAAATACATTTTAGCCAACTGTAGGACTTGCCCGCTAATCTTTCTCACATCATTCCATTCTTTGCTTGCCACTAGACAAATCCCCTGTTATTTGACCAGATGGTGGAAAATCCATTCTCATGATAAGTTGCTTCTAGTTTGCATTTAGATTACCTGCAAAAATGGAACAATTTACTACTCTGCCTCTAACCATCTCTTTTCTCCTTTTTTCCCTTAGTTTGACTTCTTGTAACTAATTATTTAAATTCTGCCCCGTGAGTTAAAATTAGTCATAGCTTACACGTTCCACATGTATGTAAATGCACTTAAGTTCCACCTCAAGTTGTATGATGAATCCATCTAGAGTTTAGTGACATATAAAGATAGGAAGATGAGCTGTCTGATGTGCAAACACAGCATCTTATAATCTGTTTACATCTGAGGTGATACTTTTGAACTTTTTAGGGAAGGTATGCAACCTCTAAAAACCAAGATCAGGTGTGAGAGTGCACCCAGCATCATCTTTTTATAGCGCGCACACCAAGGAATAGAGGATACAAACATTAAGTGAAATATCATGTTTCCTGCAGTGTTTGTAGGCATTTTGTCTACATACTAGCTTCTTTGAAAAATAACCTTCTGTACTGTAGAGTTAGGTAGTTATAACTTAACATTTTTGCCTTTATTATCGTGAAGTGGCAACTTTTACTCTGTCTAAAAGCTTTTATGAGAATAGGTGTGTTTTGTTTCTCAAACCAGTCAAAATTCAACTAGAATTGGGGTGAACTAACCACTGCAAATTGATCAGACTCAAATAGTCTTCAGTGCTCTAATTTTTAATACAGAGAAAAATACAAGAAATCAATTTCAAAGCATAAAATAGAACAAGAATATACAGTACCCAGAGTAAATAGCCAATATACAGTTTTATCTTGAGCGAAATCAATTTTGTATGTGGAACCTGAGAGATATACTCTATCTGCTGACATAATGTGCTAAAAACAAGTTAGCAAAATTAATTCAGTGAAGATTGTCTAAAATTATTTTTTTTAGAGGGGGAAAAAAACCCCAACCAAGACTGATTGTCTTGGTATAAGTTTACCAAGTTTTTGAATCCTAACCAGTAATTCTTGCTACTTGTTTTTATATTTTGTGGGTTTGCTGTTGGTTTGTTGTTTTTTTTTTTTTGTTTGTTTGTTTTTTTTTAGTAAGGAGTGCTGAATAAGCTGTTCTGTGAGGTAGTCTTAATTTCTGACCCATTTCTGACCCACAGCCTCATAGTTATCAGATGATAATTAATTGTAAATGTAAATCTATTAAATGACAGCTAAAGTACATAGGGCATAGGACAGAGGGCAAATGGGTGTGATGGCATTAGGCAGCTTCTAAATACATAAAATACAAACATAGTCTTTATTCAGCATAAAAAGTCCACTTATAGAAATACACTTACTGTGCTAAAATGAACCTTAACAATAAGAGACAAATATCATACAAGAAAATACAGGATTTTTTTTTTCCAAAGCATTTCTCTAGGTGGTAGCTGCATAGTTAAAAACCTGGTGTGCACTTTGAAATGTATTCCATAGTGTCTCAGGACTGTTTACTTTTTCAGGTTAAGTACAATAGGCCCCATTCTTTGCTAATTTAGATGCCATGCAATCTCAATGAAGTCAGTGGGATTTTAAGAGATTTACATTCATGTCCCATTTGGCTCAGTGTTTTGGGATATTATTTTTTTTTTATTATTATTATTTCTGTTGCAGCAGAGGGGGAATGGAGGAGAGTAAAATAACTCTTCAAACAAAATTGTTAGCGAGCATTGGGTAAGTGGGCATTGGGTCCAAAAAAAGGTCATAGGATCTTGGGTCCTGAAGTGGAATCCAGCCCTATACAGTGCAAAGGAAGACTTACTTCCCTCAGACTAGGATCTACAGCAGCTGCTATGTTGGTATAGAGCCTCATATATTGCTCAGTTTAAAAACAAAACACAACAAAAAACACACACACACACACACACACACACACCCCCATGCTCCCCACCCTCCACCTGTTCCAGTCATATTCTCTCTTCCCCATCTTTGGTTGTGGCACCTAATTCTGGCTAGATGTAAAGTAGGATTGTGATTCACAGTCCAAAACTCTGATCTTGGCTTGAATTACGGAAGGGTTGAGGTTGGAAGGGACCTCTTGTAAACCCCTCTGCGTTGGAGAAGCGGTGTTACCGGAGTGGGTTGCCCAGGACCATGTCCAGGCGAGTGTTGACTATCTCCATGGGTGGAGACTCCACAACCTCTCTGGGCAACCTGTTCCAGTGCTCCATTACCCTTGCGATAAAAAAGTGTTTCCTGATGTTCAGATGGAACCTCCTGTGTTTCAGTTTGTCTGTCATCCATTTGAAAAAAGAGCAAGGACTGCCCTTATCATAACAACTAAAACAAACAAACAAAAGCTAGCTGGCAGGTATTCTACACTAGCTTGGTGCAGTGAATACTTATTTAGGACCTATTTCATCACAAGGGTGTTCAAACTCACATCTTCCACTTCCCAGAAGAATGCCACAACTACTTCAGAATAAAGGTTTTCTGGAGTGAGCCATATTCTATTCCACTTGTTTAACTACTCAAGTAATAGCAATAATCAGTATTACTATTCAAGGTTCATTTGGCCAGAGAACCAGTGGAAGAAAGAGCATAATTCTGAAGCCCTGTGATGAGGGCACTCATCTGGGAAGGATTCTGATAGTTTTTGCAAGGAGTGCTTATGCATTTTTGAATGACTCTTAATATAACATGCTCTCACGGGCTCCCTTTCTTTCATCCAATGAATCATGATTTTTTTAAATACTTTTTTTTAAATAGTACCATCATTTTAGCAGGAGGAGTTAACATGTCCCTTGCTTTAGAATAGTTGTTATCAAGGAGTCTGTGGTAATCTTTGGAGCTGTGGGGGATGTACGTTTGAACCTCCTCTGGCTGAAAGGCATGGAGAGCCTAAGTCTCCCATGTCTTTGCTGAAGCTGTGTAAAAACAGGCATCTCTTCTAGTCTTTTTTTTTTTTTTTAAAAGGCCAGAGGGAGCTAAAGTTGGAGCATGGGTCAGCCAACGTGACGGTGCACTGAAGATTTTGAGGCTTGAATTCACTTTGTAGGCATTTCTGGGTGACATAAAGTGAAGCGTTTGACTCTCAGGCACAAACAACATAGAAGAAACTCTCCTCTTCTGGATTTCTTTTTTACTAGCTTGCATGGTTCCCTGCAGGTAGCACTTGTGTTGCAAAATCCCATTTTAAGATACTTAGCTTTCCTCATACACTGTGTATGGTGCTTAGGCATCTAACTTAAAGGCCCTGGGTATCACAATAAATAAGTCTCTCTGGCTGATGCCTTAATTGGTGAATGCAGGAATATCCCAGGATTTGGAGGTGTTTGGTCCTGCCTTCACCAAGTAGCTGTCTCCTTCCTCCTGCATGTGGGTTCCCGTGGGCCAAAAACAGTGCTGAGGCATGCTCAGACCAGGTTTCCAATTTGAATGAGCAAGGGACCAGGGCTGTTAAGACATGAAATGGTGTGGGCTTGCCACTCTGTGTAGGTGCAGTCTTATTGAGGAAGGCCCTCAGTTTCCACAGTACATAACTTTCCATTTTCTTGAAAGCTTGTTGCTGGATAATGATACTACTTTTTTTTCTCAAACCTCCAGACTCAAATTCCTGTTGAAACAAATATGTGATTTGAAAAAACAAGACTAGCTTAGAGCTATATAGACCTAATAGTGTCTATATAATGTCAAAAAATAATGTCAATACAGAATCATTTTTTATTATTAAGAATACTTATTTTTAAAAACTTCACAGCCTAAAAGTCTGCATTTGAAAAATTTGTAAAATTTCTCAAATAACTTATACTTACTTTAGTGATCTACCATTATATTAAAAGGGACAAAGGTATTAATTTGTGGAAGATACAAAAGCATCTAAAATGTGTGTTTATTCCAGAGAAGAGGGAGGGGAAAAAAAAGAAAATTAGTGGGTACTGTTTTGTGTGCAATTCCCAAGTATATTTTAAAAACAACATTGAATTTTTATAGCCAAATTATATTTTCTGCTAACAGGGAGTTGGGGAGGGATGAATAATAGAATGATTGACAAATCTTTTAGGGCCTGATTTTACAAGATGCTGCGCACCTCCTGATTGCTGCCAATCACTTTCATTTTCTTTCAGTCGATCCGAGAACATATGGCATTTTTCAGATGGTGCTGAGCACCTTCAATCACAGTCCTCATAATGCCACAACATCCTCATTCTGTGCAAATGTGAGAATTGCTGTTGACATTTTAAATTGGAGGGTTATTTGGTCTTTGTCTGGACAAACTCCCAGCTGATATAAATGGATGTTCTGCCTGAGGAAGGATTGCAACAGTAAACAATAAATAATCAATTTTATAAGCACTATTGTGTATACACAAACTATGTGAAGTATCAATTCGGTTCATAAAATTCTTTACCTCTTCCACTTTTGTTTGATGGGGGAAAAAAAATACCGTTCTTGTGGAGAACTGAAGTTTAGTTTACTCTCAGTGCAAATTTTGAAAAGTGGAAACTCTGGATGTTATGTGCACAAGGCAGTTGATTTAAAGAGATCAGAAAGGTGTTTAATTTAAAAATAAAATAAATAAAAAAAATCAATTTCAACATACTGATTTGTCCTGCATTACAGTTACCTGTAGAGAACCTCTAGTCATGTCTATCTGTTTTTGATGCCTCTACAGAATAACTGTCCAGCATCCTCTGCCCAACCAATCAGAATGTAGGAAAATCTACCGATATGACGGAATCTACTGTGAATCTACCTACCAGAAGTATGTTGAAATCTGTGTGAGTCTTGCCTCTAGCTCGTGCATTTAGTGCTCGTGCTCTCCCGCTATTCAGAAATTACACGTGTGTTGAAACCGTACACTTCTACTTGCGTGCAAAACCTCTGCAGCAGGGACAGAAATATTTTGTTTAATTCTTTGGGATTGTGCTCTAAAAGCTAAAAAGCAAATAAAAAACCCTATGACTTTACTCAGTCTCTTAGATATGCTTCTGTACAGTGCAATAAACAAGAATGTATACAGTAGAAAATCTAGGCAAAATGTATTGCACAGGTGCTTCACATCTTAGGGATTTGAAAGGTGTGATATGTATAAATTAGCTGTCACTTTTTTTCAGTCATGTAATGGAATGATGAGTTGTAATTTGCATAATCCTTTAAGAAGTCAAATTATACTGTCATGTAGCAGACTTAACATGCTAGCTAGGATTTCATAGCTTTGCAGCTAATTAGTATGTACCTTACAGGACAGTTAAATTGAAGTTGAGTCCTCTCGCTTTGCAGTCATTTGCCTTTGTCCGTTGCCCTAACAGAGCCCGCTTTTGTGCGTAACTCAAGATCGTTACCGGTGCTTCTGACAAAAGTGCTGTTGCTGTGGGCAGGCAAATGCAACATGCTTGACTTCTGTTACTTTTGCAGTCAGTGAAGTTCCTATTTTACTGTAGTAAGGCCTTAGTAATCTATGTCTACATAGAATTGAAAAGTGTATATTTGACAGGTATATTGTAGATGATTTTGTATTAATATATTGCAAATGCATTATGAATTTTCGCTGATATCTTGCTGATATTTTGAAACTGCTTTCTGTTACTTGGTGTTTACTTTTCACACTCCAACTATATTCTTGTTTTGTGTCCCAGTGTTATCGTTATTATCTTGTGTATAACAGATTTCACTTTCCAAAAACCTCTTAACTTCTAAAAATCAATTGTACTTGCATTGCAACAAAATGTTTCTTTGGCAAGGCAGTCATGCTCATTATAATTTTTTAGGTCGTATTCTCTCATCCGCTCTTTTTATTCCATAATCTGCTGTTTGTTTTCTGAATCTTTTCTTTTAGTAATAGGTACAACCACATCAGTAAAAGCTGTTGTTTCAGCGTAAATGAAGAGTATCATTTTGGTTTACAGAAGTGAGAGGAAAAGGGAAATCTAGATTTATCAATATAATTACAGCATCAGTGTAACTTGGTGAGCCAAAATGAAAATCTGACCTCTTGCTTGACTTTTTTGTCAATGGTTACTTTTGGTGTGAGATGATCTATTCATGATTTTACATTGACTTATAAATATTTCTTGCACTTTTTGAATTTTTGATGGTTTTCCCTTCTATCTCTCCAAGTAATGGTAGTATCCAGGGTAACTGAAGCAGTCTAGATCTAGCACATGTCACCACAGAATTTAACTTTAGTGGTTTTACTTTTCTTGTCACTTCAGTTCAGTAAGCATAAAAATGTATTCATTTGTTTAAACATTTGAAGCAGATTGTTATGTACTATTTATATCAGTTTTTAAAACAACTTCAAGATTTCAAAACTTTGTGGAAATAAGAAAACTTGGCACAGGTTGTCATGAGTGTTAAATACAGTGATAGCTTCACCCTGAACACTGCAAAATAGTTGTTTATCTTAAATTCTCCCTAATTTCAAAAATTATAGTCAGTATAGTTAAAAACAGCTAGCTGTGCTGACTGCAAAATGGAATAGTAGATGTTCACTTACAAGTAGGTATACAGTTGCAAATAGGCATTGGCTAAATAGCTTTTCAAAAAAAGACAAAATCCAAAAATCAGATTGGTGATGAAACAGTGTTGGTTTTGACATCTGTTTTGCCATACCTGAAATGTGAATTTTGAGGTATTATAGCCCAGTTCACCTCACTTGTAGAAAGCATGGATTATTTTGGAAAACTAACAGCTCGGTCTTTCTGCAGAAAATATAGAGTGCTTTTTGATTAGTGAGATTTTCTCTCGGTGCTTCTTCCATGCTATTGAAGTTCTCTGAGGCATTCTTTCTGTCTTCTTCCCAATGGATGTTTTTGGTACTTTTTTCCATAGTAATTTGTTTCCAATGATATAACAACAAGTTACTGAAAACTTCTCACTAATCAAGACCAAAAAAACCCAAGCTATTTTCATCACACTTTTAAAGTTCATAGTTTAGTGCTACAAGACCTGTGAATGTTTTGTACTAGATGTTCATGTGCATCTCTTACGCAGGCTCAGTCTCTCCCCTGATTAGACTGGGAAAGGGAGAATGGATGTAAAACACCACTGGTGGTCAACAGAAAGGGCTGTGTGACCCTCCTTTTTCCTGTAAGGTGATTGCTGGGCTGGACATAAAACAGCGAACTACTTATTCTGAGAGCTAAAGAAATTTTAAGGACTGGCCATACAGAGTAGGACACGACACAAAATCGTGGATTTGGGAGCTTGACTATTTTTTCTCCAACCCATTTTAAAATTAAATGAAGTATTATGCAGAGAGCTGACTCTGGATTTATGCTTAACTATGTACCTACTACAGGTATTTTGTGTAAAGCTACTTAGCAGTTGGTATTGAGATATTCCGATCCTTTCTGTAAAAATTTGAAAGGATCATACCATGACCTTCTACTCCAAAAATACTTTTAAGAAAACATTTGGGGAAGTAACCTTTTTAGTCAAATCTTAGTACTAATACATACTAGAAATAACAGTTTTTAAGAGTGCTTAAAGGTGTAGATTAGTAAATACATTATAGTATTAGGAAAAAAAAAAAGGCAAACAGCTTTTCACAACACAAGTTCCTGAGGAGCTGGACTAATGATTACATTAGCTAATATATAAAAAAATAGCCAAATAGTAAATATTTTAAACAGATCCCTCTAGGCTATTTATGATCTGCTTGCAATTGAGCCTCATAGCTGCTGCTAGATATCCCGCTTGGAACAGAGTGGAACATAGTTTCAAAAGTTGTTTGTGAAAAAACAGATTCCTGCCCCCCCCCCCGCCACTGGGCTGTCCACCACCTTGGTTGCCACGGGTCTATGTTGTTTTAGGTGGCTAAGCATGTAAATATGCTTTTTAAAAAATCTCTAAAGTAAGCTTGAAAATAATTACAAATTGTTTCTGTGTTCACTAGTGGTAGAGACTAACACACCAAGCATTCTTAAAAGATTTTACCATTGTGTTTTTTGAAGTAGACTACATGTCTCGAGCTGTAGAGGTAAAACCAGAGACCTGTCAGCTACTGGCCTGGAATACGGCTGTCCGTCAACTCCTGAATATTTCTGCTTTTCTTTTCCAGTCCCCACAGCTGTAGCCAGGAATGTCCAGGCTCTTCTTTTGTGATGTCAAACAAAATTGACAACAGAAAGAAATATTTCTTGTTCAGTTCTAGCTACTGCACTATAACCAAACTGCTAAGGTTTTTCCCTCTTGCCCTGGTTGAAAATGCTTTCTTCTGCTTGCTCAGACACCTATGGTTTGCACTGTTGTTCACCTTTATGGAGTGTCAAACAGTGAACAAAGCCTGGGTAGAAGATCTCCAGAGATAGCCCAAGAGGAGTATGGCTCCCTGCCCATGCTCTGGTTTTATTTCTTGCTAAATTACAAGGACTAATGGCGTGTCAAGAATAGGGTTTTTTTTGCTTGTCTGCAGGGAGTCTCTGTTGTGTACAAGCAGAGGATATCTCAGGGTTTTTTTGTTCTCAGCCTGGAAGTTATTCCATTCATGAAGCGGCCCTTCAGAGTATCACCTGGATCATGAGGGGAAATTCTCAGTTTGGTGGCTGTTGTGTGCTGTCTTCAAAGCAAGGGTGGAAGAATTATGCCATCCTCATTTCTTCCTGTCCATATTAAGCAGACTTAAAGGTCATGTCTCTCTTCAGGAGTATAGAGAATAGGGAATAGTTCTACAGTAAGGTATTTCTTCTGAAATCAAGAGCATGGAATAAATATGTAAGGCAAACACCTCGCTCATTTAAATCCCAGAAATACAGCTATGGTCTTATTAGCTCTTGTTCCTTCATTTCTCTGCAAGTTAGTGAAATGAGCACAGAACAGAAGGCTCATTGATTGCAGTCTAAGAAGTGGAGCAATTTGTCCTGGAAGGTGTAGCTTGGTCATATACACGTTATCGTCTTGAGCCTGTAAATGCTCAAAACATCCAAACTTAACAGACCAAAATAAGCTCCCTTCAGACTATATGTTGACTCAAAACCATAAATATTTGTACAACTGAGAAAAGGAGGCACAAGGCTAAAGCATTCCTGTCAGCCTGTAAGGTTTAAATTAAGTTTTGTTTATTTATCAAATGGATAAAACAAAAACAGAATTGCTTTGTATGCCCAAGAAATCTCATGGCCCTGGTAGACAACACAAATGAGAATATAAACCTTCTAATGGGCCAAATAGCTCTCCCAGGTTTCTAGCAGGGGAATTCGACCAAATATAGAAGATATTGGTTGAATATCTTCATCATGGGAAGATGAAGGATTTCTCAGCGTTGTTGAAGTGGTCTGCAGGGCTCATCACCAACTTAATGTGGGCAGTAAAAGACCTGCAGAGGAGGAGCTAATGGTTCCAAACGGAGATTCACAATTTTGTGAAAGTGGGTTAAAACCCCCTGCTGGCTCCTCTGCAGCTGGGTGTGATGGTTCAGGTCAGTGTAGTCATTTCAGCAGCACAGAAGTTGATAATGGCTGAGAGGTCATTGTCTTCTTCCATCTTTTTGTTTCTTAGTGATGGTGCTGCACTTAAGTTGACTTAGAAGGATGTAAGACTTTTCAGACTTACTGTTTGTATATCCTGACTCATCTGATACCATATAGCTGAGGAAAAGATACAGTAGTCTGAAACAATTATTTTAGCTGCAGAAGAAACATGTAATGCAGGACAACAGAGCTGTCATTCAAGCTAATGCTGTAGGGTACACGAGCTTTTTTCCAACAATGACTTCAGTATCCTATGTTTAGGGGTTAACCTAAGAGAGAACATACTGAAGAA